GGCCCAGCTCCGGAGGGGGCCTCGCCTGCTCCGGGTGCTGCCAGCGGAGCAGCTGCCGCCCTTGTGAATCCGGAGGGGCAAGAGCACGCAGACACAGTGGATCGTCGATGTTCAAGAAGATCTGGGAAGTGGGGGGGAAGACGAAAAACCCTGAAACTATGGGACAGTATTGGGAATCCTGTTATTTGTGTGTATTCATATTTGTGTATCCCAGGGCCCATTCATTAGAATGTTCACGCGGAATCCAGCGGAGTGCGGCGGTCTTACCCATATCCACGTTGGACCTCGCGCTTCCTGGGGGCTGCCAACGGCACAATCGTCGCCATTCTCGCGAGCTCCTGGAATGTCCAGCGGAGTGCGGGTCCTTAGCAGATCCTCACGGGGCCTCGCGCTTCCTGGGGGATGCCAGCTGCGCAATTGTCACAAATATTCAGAGACACAAACTCAGAGAGCTCTTGGGAGGTCGAGCGGAGTGCGCTCTTACCTAGATCCCAACGTGACTTCGCCTTCCCTAGGGGTTGCAAAGTGGAAGCTGTCGTCATGTTCGTGAGCTCCCCGGAGTTCCAGCGGAGAGCCAGATCCAAATGGAACCTCGCGCTCTGGGGGCTGCCATTTGCACGTTTGCCGCTGCTTTCGTGAGCTCCCGGGATGTTCAGCGGAGTGCGGTCTCACCCAGATCCACACGGTACCTCGCGCTCCTGGGGAGTTTGCCAAGCTGTCGCCATTTTCGTGAGGTCCTGGAAGTTTTAGCGAGGTGCGGTCTTACCTAGATTGCAACGTGTCCTGGGGGCTGCCGATACATACATACCGCCTTTTTCGTGAGCTCCTGGAATCCAGCGGTGTTCGGCCTTAGCTGAGCACCCATGTCCAAACGAAACCTCGCCTGCCCTGAGCGCTGCCAACTGCGCAATTGTCTCCGCTTTCGTGGCTTCTTGGGAGGTCCATTTGAGTGCGGCTGTACCCATGTTCAAATCAGACATTGCTTGCCTTGGGGGCTGTCAGCTGTGCACTCTGTCGCCACTTCCGTGGGCTCGTGGGGAGTCCAGCCGGATCCAAACGGGACCTCGTCTTGCAGGGGGGCTGCCCACTGCGCAACCGCTTCTTTGAGCGCTCCTAGGCGGTCCAGCGGAGTGCGTCTTTACCCATACAGTGGGGGCGCGCATCAAGAAACCATGTGCTTTTCGTCAGGGTATCCTGGGTTTCTTCGCTCCTCGCGCTGCGCAGTGAGTTCCGGCAGCCGTTGAAGGAGCTGCTGCCTTCAGGGTGCTCCAGGTTTCCCCTCGGGTGCAACTCGCGCACGGGTTCTCGGGGTCGGGTTTCTTGCGAGGGCTTCTTGCGATCGCGCCCGCACTGTACCCAGACGTGATGTCGGCTGCCCCTCGGGCTGCCACCTGCGTGTTTGCCGCCGCCGGTCGTGAGCTCCCTGCCCAGCGGAGTGCGGCTCCCGCGGGTGGAGGCCAAGAGGACGGCGCGGAAGCTTGGCCCGGGCGGGTTCCTGCACGAGGGAATGCACGAGCCGCGAGAGTGTGTGCTGGCGCGCTCATCTGCTTCTCTGTGCGTCTGGCGCCCAGACAATCACCACCCACCAAACCGCCCCAACCCAACCCGAAGGCTCAGATTTACCCTCGATTTCCAGTGGGGGGGGTCGGGAAACATCGAAAAAACACATGTGGAACCCTTACCCCCCCCAACCCGAAATTCGGTTCTTCGGGTTGGGTTGGGTTGGGGTGGTCTGGTAGGTAGTCAAACAAAGGGCACGCACGCGGCCGCGAGCTTTTCGCACCCGCGCGGAGCGGCGCAGGTTGAGGCCACGGTGTGGGGCATCAGCCTCCACGCAGGATCGGTGCTGCATGGGCGATGCGACCAAAACGCTGTCGTCGCCACCTTCTGCATGCCATTCCTCATCGCCCTCTGCGGTGTCCAGTTTCGCGTTTGCCGGGCAAATTCGCCTTGAGCCGGGTTTTGGTCTCATGCCTTCGTGCCCGGATCCTCCGTGGTCTTGCCTTCGTCGGCCCGCGCTTTATGGCCCAAGGTGTAGCTCGAGAGTCGAGGCGAGGGAGGGCGCCCAGGGCGGGTGGAGGAGGAGCAGGATGGCGAGAGGACTTCAAGTTCTCCCCTCAACTTGCACCTGCCTCCGTGGTCAGTTGTACCCGCTACTGCCCCGTGCCGCCGCCGTTGCTTCTCTGAACAGCCAGTGCGCGCAGCGCGTGAGTGTGCAGACGGGCCCTAAGCTCAGAGCTCGCGCTTCGGGAACTCACCTCGGGGACCATGGGGCCGTTCTGTGCAGGTTCTCGTGCGGCTCGTCAAGCTGGTGGACAAGGCCATGTTGGGGGAAGGACCGGTACCCCACAGCATATTTTCTATCCCCCTTTGGTGGATCACGGGTGTTACCGGGGGAGGGGAACCGGCAACGTCACGATTTGCGCCCGCGGGAAGAACGGGGAAGCGCCTGCTAATGTTTGGGTTGGGAGTGGTCTGGGACGACGACGACGACGACGACGACGACGACGACGACGACGACGACGGCGACGGCGACGGCGACGACGACGACTGACGACGACGACGACCGACGTCGTCGACAGACGTCGTCAGGAGGCTTCTTCAAGGTTTCAGAGGCGCCCACAGTCCATCGGCGCTGTGGTGTGCACGGGCACAGGCATGTAGGCGTTGCGGTGCTCACGAGCGCTGCGGTATACACGTGCGTTGTGGTGAACACAGGCGTTGTGGCGTACACGGCTGCTGTGGTGTACTACGCAGGCGGTGTGGTGGAGTCAAGCGCTGCGGTGCGCTCTTAGGTTGGTGCAGCAGCTCCGGCAGTGTACACAGGCATGGTGATGCACATAATAATTGTGGTGCGGTGTTGTGCACAGGCACTGCTGTTCATAAATGCCTCGTTTTTTACGCAAGCGCTGTGTTGTACACAGGCATTTGTGGTGCACGCAGATGCTGGTGCTGCAGCTGCGTTTGTGGTGTGCACAGGCACTATTGTGCGCACGTGCGTTGAGGTGCGCGCAGGCTGCGTAGTATACGAAGGCACTATTGGCCCCCAAAGAAGGGAGCCGATCCTCGAATTTGTTTCTTCCAGGCTCCCGACGGTTTCCGGGATTTTGGCCTTGCCAAGTCCCTGAAGGTGTATACGTGATTTGTGGTGTACACGGGCACTGTGGTTTACAAGGTGTATAATACATACACACATGGTGTTGAAGCATCAGCTGTGGTGCGCCGCACGGGCGATGGGGTGTGCACAAGCATTGTGGTATGTGGGGGTGCACGCAGGCGTTGCGGTGCACAGGGGTGGTATGGTGTGCGCAGGTATTGAGGTGTACACATGCGTTGTGGTGAATGTTGTCGCTGCATCAGCTACGGCGTACACGGGCTGCATGGTGTACGCAGTCGATGCTGAGTACAGGCATGTGATGTACCCCAGCGGTCCCTCCGCGGGCATACTGTGGCACGCGCAGGCTCAGCAGGCCCGCACCCAAATGGCTATCTCTGGCAGCTCCCTGCCTGAATGCTCATCCTAGCCGTCCTTGGCTAGTCCTGGGCGTTCCCAGACGGCGCCGGCGCGAAACGTGACGTTACCCGGGGGGGGGGGCGGGGTCGTTAGCGGCCGCTGCCTCGGGGAGAGGAAAAGCGCGTGTGCATCGTCAATCGCGGCCCGGGTGCCCCACCCCGCCCAAGAGCTTGCGGCGACGTCGTCGAGGGCCCGTTGCCGAGCGATCGGCGATCATCGGCCATTCCGAGGCCTGCCCCCCCCCACCCCCGTGAGCCAGCCTTCGGCGTCACCCCAGCACACAGCAATGTGGCGTGCGCTCGCCGAGGAGAGTCTGCTGGGCTAATTAGTCTCCGCGGCGGGCGCCTCGCTGGCCATGCCGATCGGGCAGCGCTCTGCTACAGAGGCTCGGCTGCCGCGCGGCTCTCGGGTCGGGCTGGCGCCTCCCACACCAGCACGCGGCACTCAATGCCCTCCCCGCGCACGGTCGAGCCCGGCCGCGGCCCGCGCCCCCGGGATTCGGGGCCGGCCTCCAGGTGCCGGGCGTCGGCCCGTGCGGCACAGGTGCGCGGACGGGCCGCGGCTGCCTGGTCCGGCCCCCCCCCAGATAGGGGGCCACAAGCGAACCCTACCCCTACCCCCCACGATTTTTGAGGAGGAGGGTGGGGTTCACTTCGTTCGGGAGCTCCCGAGCGAAGTGAACCCCACCCTCGCCCTGAGAAATCGTGGGGGGTAGGGTAGGGTTCGCATGTGCCCCCCCCCCCCCCCCCAGAGGTCAACACCCCAGCCAAGTCAGACAGGAGGGCAACAAAAACAAGTCTGATAACAATGAGCCGAAATAGTGTGATAAACAAACAAATGTGATACAGGAAGCAAGTGTGATACAAAAAACAAGTGTGATAAAAAGCAGGTGTGATTCGTTTTTTTAACCGCACTTGTTTTTATCACACCCCAGGGTTGGAGCCGTCTGGGGGTCTGAGGTGGCCCAGCACTGGTTCCTGCCGGTAGGACGGGCAGGCAGGTTCGAGGTTCTGGGTTCGAGAAGGTTTTTTGCTCTTCTCGGCCTCCGGGGGCCGTTTTCGGAACGGATCCGGGGTGAAAAACTCTAACTAGATGGACCCTGGGAGGCTCCTGGAGATGGATTTTTAGCGGATTTGGCTTCATCCCCCCTCCTGATCAAGTGTCTTGGCTCCTAACCAGTTCAGACCCCCTGGCCGCCTCCACCCCCCGTGCTGGCCAGGGATCTCCCTCTTGACGAGAGACCCTGACCTAGCCTGGGTCGCACCCTTCTCATTGGTCTCGGTTGCAATACCCGGGAGGTTACATTCAGCACTAGCGCTGGTACATCTGCGTTCGGAAGTTTGTTTCATCCCGCCCGATCCGCCTAGGCCTAATCTGGCTCAACCCAGTTCAGTGTTTTTCTTCTGGATCGAGTGGAAGAGCTTCCAGTCATGTTCACGAAGGCCTCGCAGGAGTTGCCTCCTGCGGCTCCCCCCCCCGCCCCGAGGAGCACTGCCTCACCGCGGAGGAGATGTGGGGCGACGGCGGCTCGGCCGGCGAGCGCGCTGCGCCCGCGCCGCTCGTCCTCCCCGAGGAGACCTGCCTCACCGCGGAGGAGATGTGGGGCGGCGGCAGCTCCGACGGCGAGCAGGGCGCGCCGGAGCCCCCGCGCCGTGAGGCCCGGGCCGGAGTCTGACCCGCCCGGCCCGCCCGTGGGGGTCCGCCCGGGGGGGTCCGCCCGTGGGGGCCCGCCCGTCAAGTCCTCCCCGATGCCTTGGCATCGCTCGGACGTGTGCGTTTTTTCCTTCGGCGAGGACCGTCGAGGAGCAGTCTTGATCGTGTGGCGGAAAAGCCACGCGCGAAGCCGAAAAAAGCACGGAGTGGACGTCCGAGCGATGGCCAGATGCTCGTCGGCATGCCCGCTCGTCCCCTTCGGTTTCCCGCCCACCCGACCCACCCACGGTGGGAGCTCTCGGAGGTGGACAGACCTCCTACCCTGACACGTCGATTCAGGAATTGGCCGTTTTCGGTTCGCGAGAGGGTATCGCGTCCGCCATTTTTGCGGGTCCAGGTCCGTTGGTTTCGGTCCCAAGCCGTTTTCACTAAGGGGAGGTGTACTAAAGGGAGGTTTGTCCACCGCCGAAGCTCATGCCAAGAAACACCCCGCTTGCCTCCAGGGTTCCCTGGGTTTCTCGGGTTTCGGTGGTCTTGCGATAGAGAACGTGGCGTCCCCACACCCAAATCAGTGGACGTCCTGGGGTGTCAGGGTTGGCTTTCTTGTGGAGGTCTGTCTGAGATTTTTTTGGGATGCTTTTGGGACGTCCAGGGAACCCAGGAAGGTCTACGGAGGCGCTGGGCGCTGGGTGGGCGAGCCCCCGCCCTTCAACCGCTCCAGGGGAAGCCTCGCCGATGTCCCCCTAATCATGAAGTGGGGCATGTCCCTCTACAGGAGGAATGTTCAAAAATAGTTCAACAATAGTCTGGGGACGATTCTTCCATGATTGTCGACTAATTTTGAAGATTTGTCGGCCATTTCCTGTTTTTCCTTCAAAAATATGCCCGACCTCTAACCCCATCATCCTGGCGCTCCATAGGCGCACTTTTTTGGAGGCGGTACGGAGCAGCCCTCGGGATCTTTGCTTCAGCCCTGGGGTGCTGTCCTCTTGTCAGGAGGGGAAAAGACACACAGACACAATGAATCGTCGATTCCCAGGAAAGTGTGGGAAAATATGGGAAGTGGGGAGGAAGACGAAAATACAGAAAACATGGGGAGTCCTGTTATTTGTTTGTATTTATTCGTGTGTCCTTGGGCCCCTTCATCTTGGCTCTCCCAGAGGGTCGCCAGGGAAGCCCGCCCCCCACTTCTGGGGGCATTTTTCCCCCCACGAGGCGTCCAGAGGCTGTGCCCCCGGCCAGGAGGAGGAGGAGGAGGAGGAGGAGGAGGAGGAGGAGGAGGAGGAGGAGGAGGAGGAGCAGGCGGAGGAGGAGCAGGAGGAGGAGGAGAGAGGAGGAGGAGGAGGAGGAGGAGGAGGAGGAGGAGGAGGAGGAGGAGGAGGAAGCAGGAGGAGCAGAGGAGGAGGAGGAGGAGGAGGAGGAGGAGGAGGAGGAGGAGGAGGAGGAGGAGGAGGAGGAGGAGGAGGAGGAGGAGGAGGAGGAGGAGGAGGAGGAGGAGGAGGAGGAGGAGGAAGAGGACCCCCATGTGCCAACTGAGGAGCACCTCCCCGACCCCCACGAGCGGCGTTTGCCAGACAGTCCTGGGCGTTGGGACACTGGACGGCCCCGTCCTTTCCGATCCCCTCCCCATGCAGATTCCTGCAGGGCTTTTCCCCGATAGGGGTGGTCTTGCTGAGGGTGGGCCTTCTGCCATCCGTTTTGGCAGCGTGCGTGTCCCGCCGTCCCTTGCCCGAGGAGCTGCGAGGAGAGCCTGCGGGCGCTGTCGACGGCGGTCCGCCGAGCCCGGCGGAGCGCCTGCGCCGGATGCTGGCAGGCCCGAGCGCGCCAAGTGCGCCGCGCCCGGCGCCAGTGCGGGGTGCGGGGGGTGGGGCTGCCAGACCGAGGGCCCGCGTGCGGTCAGGCGTGCTTGCTTGGCGCGTCGCCCCGCCGGTTCTGGCCCACCACGCTTCGGCGCGACGCGCCGGGCACGTCCCAGTCACCAGGCACTTAGCCGCCTTGATAGGCCCGTGCTGAAAGACGACATGTACCATGTTCGAAACGTCCGTGTTAACACGCTGCGTGTTGACTCGGCACGTGTTGATCCACGTTTTGGCGAAAGTGTCGCGTCATGCTCACGTTTTCAGTCTACGTGCTGAGCTCCGTGTGAACACACTAAGCGTTGCGTGTTGCGTATCGGGGCAGCCAAGACCATGCATTAACGTTCTGAGCTTTTCCCAGCCACCCGTCCCACGAAGCAGAGCGACACACCATAAGCTCGCAAGGCATGTAGCGTGTCGCACGGGGCGCCGCCACGACAAGCTCCTCAACGTACGTGTTTGTATCCGCACATACATAGCGGAAGATTCTTGATGTTGATTCGAACCAGGGATTTGCTACTTCAAGAACCGTTCTGGGAGCTCCAGCCTCCTGTCGATTGCTGGGACGCTGATACCGCGTGGGAGGTCCAGCGGAACGGCGTCCATGATGTTTCTGGATGGGGGCACATCGGTATCCATGTCTTACAGCGAGTGGCGAGCTGCAGGGGAAGGGGTCGAGGATGGGCAGCCCCAAACGGATACAGTACCCACCCTATCCACCATCCTACGGTTGCCCCGACTCCGATCGGCTAACCAATCGAACCGCGCGCGCTCGGCCAACACGCGAACCATTGCAGCTAGTGGTACGACATGATGTTTCAGACCGACCCATTCGACAATACATGCACAGTGCAGCCTATATTCCTCCATCACAGAGCAGCGGCATGAGGGGAAAGTAGCAAAACCCCTAGAGGGAGGTTTTGAGTATCATCAGGGATCATTGGGAAGAGCTCAGTTGGGTCCGAACATGGTCAGGCAGCACAACGGGGAACTGGTCGGACCCATCTTCCGACTTTTAGTGCCCATGCTGCCGTCCATGTGCTGTGTGGGAGCGATCCACCAGAGGGTTGGTGGAGGGTGCAGCGGCCATGACTTTCATTGGTGGGGTGAGTGGCGGTCGGTCTGGAGCAATTCCCAACCATCTTGGGTTGTTGGGTCTTTGTTTTGAGTCCGCAGTGCCGCGCATCCTCCTCCTCCGCCTCCTCCGCCTCCTCCTCCTCTTTCTCCTCCTCCTCCCCCTCCTCCTCCTCCTCTCCCTCCTCTCCCTGCCTGCTCTCTCTTCGTTCCCTGCCTCCGCCCTCCGTAGTCTCGGCACACCCCTCACGCGCTTCGTGCTTCCACAGAGAGCTCCGCTTACGGCCCCAGTGGGCGCACCCTTCAAACGATCCGTGACCCCGCAGGAAGCTCCACCTACGGCTCAAGTGGCCGCACGCAAGCGCGCGTATTCCCAACCCCGCCCAGCTTTTGCACGCAAGCGCGCGTATTCCTCACCCCGCCCAGCTTTTGCACACGCCTCAGACGATTCGTGCCCCCATGGGGAGGTCCACCTACGGCTCAAGTGGGCGCGCGAGCGCGTTTGCAGCATTCCGCCACTTTCGACACACGCCTCACACGCTTCGTGCCCCCATGGGGGGTCCACCTACGGCCCCAGTGGCCGCGTGCGTATGACGCACCCCTCCCAGTTTTTGCACACGCCTCGCGCGCGTCGTGCCCCCCCACGGCTCAAGTGGACGTGTGCATATGCCGCGCCTCGTCCGTCGTGCCCCCTCAAAGGGGGCTTGACATACGGTCTCGGTCTGGGCGCGCGTTCGCCGCGGCGCGCTCATTTCGGGAGACACTCTGCACGCTTCGTGCCCGCATGAAGGGCTTCATCTGCGGCCCTAGTGGTTGTGCATACGCCGCCCCTCTACCAATTTCGGCGTACTCCCCACGAGTTTCCTGCTCCTGCTCCTCCCCCCCCTCCTCCTCCTACTATTCCTCCTCCTCCTCCTCCTACTTCTCCTCCTCCCCCTCCTCCTCCTCCTCTTCCTCCTCATTCCCCCTCCTCCTCCTCCTCCTCCTCCTCCTCCTCCTCCTCCTCCTCCTCCTCCTCCTCTTCCTCCTCATTCCCCCTCCTCCTCCTCCTCCTCCTCCTCCTCCTCCTCCTCCTCCTCCTCCTCCTCCTCCTCCTCCTCCTTCCGTCCCCTCCTCCTCCCCCCCACGGGAGCTCCACCTATGGCATCACGGTGCGTGCGTGCACGCCGCTCCGCGCCTTGTTCGGACCCCTCGCACGCCTCGTGCTTCACAGAGGCCCGAGCCCAGTGCAGCACGCGGCGAGCAACCTGTGAGGCGACGGCCACGCTCTGCGCTGCACGCAGCTGCATGGGGTTGGGCCCTCCGCCGTGCTAATTTCCCCCGCATCCTCCTCCTCCCCCCCTCCTCCTACTCGTACCCACCCTATCCACCACCATCCTACGGTTGCCCCGACTCCGATCGGCTAACCAATCGAACCGCGCGAACTCGGCCAACACGAGAACCATTGCAGCTAGTGGCACGACATGACGTATCAGAACGACCCATTCGACAATACATGCACAGTGCAGTCTATACTCCTCCATCACAGAGCAGCGGCATGAGCTCCGCTTACGGCCCCAGTGGGCGCACCTTTCACACGATCCGTGACCCCGCAGGAAGCTCCACCTACGACTCAAGTGGCCGCGCGCAAGCGCGCGTATTCCCAACCCCGCCCAGCTTGTGCACGCAAGCGCGCGTATTCCTCACCCCGCCCAGCTTTTGCACACGCCTCAGGCGATTCGTGCCCCCTATGGGGAGGTCCACCTACGGCTCAAGTGGGCGCGCGAGCGCGTATGCAGCATTCCGCCACTTTCGGCACACGCCTCACACGCTTCGTGCCCCCATGGGGGGCCCACCTACGGCCCCAGTGGCCGCGTGCGTATGACGCACCCCTCCCAGTTTTTGCACACGCCTCGCGCGCGTCGTGCCCCCCCCCCCCCCCCCCCCCCCACGGCTCAAGTGGACGCGTGCGTATGCCGCGCCCCGTCCGTCGTGCCCCTCAAAGGGAGCTTGACCTGCGGTCGCGGTTTGGGCGCGCGTTCGCCGCGGCGCGCTCGTTTCGGGAGACATCTTGCACGCTTCGTGCCCGCATGAAGGGCTTCATCTGCGGCCCTGGTGGTTGTGCGTGCACGCCGCCCCTCTACCAATTTCGGCGTACTCCCCACGCGTGTCCTGCTCCTGCTCCTCCCCCTCCCCCTCCTTCCCCTCCTCCTCCTCCTCCTCCTCCTCCTGCTTCTCCTCCTCCTTCCCCCCTCCTCCTCCTCCTCCTCCTCCTCCTCCTCCTCCTCCTCCTCCTCCTCCTCCTCCTCCTCCTCCTCCTCCTCCTCCTCCTCCCGTCCCCTCCTCCTCCCCCCCACGGGAGCTCCACCTATGGCATCACGGTGCGTGCGTGCACGCCGCTCCGCGCCTTGCTCGGACCCCTCGCACGCCTCGTGCTTCACAGAGGCCCGAGCCCAGTGCAGCACGCGGCGAGCAGCCTGTGAGGCGACGGCCACGCTCTGCGCTGCACGCAGCTGCATAGGGTTGGGCCCTCCGCCGTGCTAATTTCCTCCTCCTCCTCGTCCTCGTACCCACCCTATCCACCATCCTATGGTTGCCCCGACTCCGATCGGCTAACCAATCGAACCGCGCGAGCTCGGCCAACACGCGAACCATTGCAGCTAGTGGTACGTCATGATGTTTCAGAGCGACCCATCCGACAATGCATGCACAGTGCAGTCTATATGAGGGGAAAAATAGCAAAACCCCCTAGAGGGAGGTTTTGAGCATCATCAGGTATCATCGGGATAATCTCTGTTGGGTCCGAACATGCTCAGGTAGCCCAACGGGGAACTGGTCGGACCCATCCTTCGACTTTTAGTGCCCATGCTGCCGTCCATGTGCTGTGTGGGAGCGATCCACCAGTGGGTTGGTGGTGGGTGCAACGGCCATGAGCTTCATTGGTGGGGTGAGTGGCGGTCGGTCTGGAGCAATTCCCAAACATCTTGGGTTGTAGGGTCTTTGTTTTGAGTCCCCAGTGCCGCGCATATCCGTACTTCTCTTCCTCCGCCTCCTCCGCCTCCTCCTCCTCCTCCTCCTCCGCCTCCTCCGCCTCCTCCTTCTCCTCCTCCTTCTCCTCCTCCTCCTCCTCCTCCTCATGTGTTGGATTTGCGCGCGTTGGCTTGGGCTGGGAGGGTGACGCGATCTTTCTGGATATTATCTCTGGGCGAGGAAGTCATGACATTGTTGACGCTTCGCGTATCTCCACCAGCCCATCCAGGAACGATCCCCCGCTCCCTTGGGCTCTCGGAGCAGCCTTGGGGCCGTCTTGGGGCCTCTCGGGGGCATGCCGGAGACCACCTGAGCTATCTTTGCCATCTCGGACGCTCTGACGCGTCGCGCACGGCCCCGGCCAGACCGAAGCGAGCACTTCTCCAGACAACAAAGTGGACCAGCTCAGCTCCTCCGAGGCCTTTCAGCCACAAGACCGGCGTGTGCACACTGGGTTTCTTAATAAGCGTGGGGGGGTACCCGTCCGACGGGGGTCAAGCTCGCCTCGTCGTCGCGCCGCGACGGGGGTCGGAACGCCTTCGGCGCGCGGTGGCTGCCCGCGACGGGGGTCGATGTGGGGCTGTCGGCGGGGGTGACGCCCCCCCCCCGACGCTTATTAACAAATTCGGAGTACCATTCCTCACCGAGCGCGTTCCACTACTCGCAAAGTGCCTACTCGCAATCCTCCGAAGAAAGCATGCCTGCATCGATGTAATGTATCGTAGATCGCCCGTGGTGGATCCAGGCCATTTGCGAGTAGCTACTTTGCAAGTCGTGTTACGCGCTTGTCGAATGCCGTCTTGGCCTCGGCAAGGCAGGACACGAAGCCGAGGCGGTCTCCGAGGCAGCCACCGAGAGGGCCCGCGAGGGCCCGCGGAGGCCGCCTCCGGGCATCCCGGAGACCTCCGGGGACCGCCGCGAGACGATCCGAGGCGTGGCCACGGAGCCTCCACACGATGGGCCTCGAGAGATCAAAAGCATGCGAGGATCTAAGGTTAAGTCGGGCCTGTCCCTCTACAGGAAGAATATTCAAAAATTGTCGAACAAAAGTATGGGGACGATTTTTTTGCCATTTAGAATATGTTTTGACTATTTTTTGATTGTTCCTCAAATCCCCCTGCAGGGGGACAGGCCCGACTTAAATCTAAGGTTTGCCAACGAGTCTGGCCTTCTCGCTTCTCGCCTTCCGAAAGGCTTGCATTGCCTCAACATCGGGGGCGGCAACGAGGGGGGTGATGACTAGGGGGGGTGGATATCATGGCGTGGGCCATGATATTTCCCCAGATTTCATGGCGCCTCTTCTTATTTCTGGCCCCCCCGCTGGGCCGCGCACATGCCGCCGGTCATGATTTGCACCCCCCCCTCTTGGACACCCTCCTCTTGGCCGCGGGTCCCAAGATCGTTCCGTAGCCGTTTTTGCCCAAGGATGCAGTCAAGATCAGCATTGGATGAGTGAGCCACCCGCTTTTTCCATGACGCTGCGGGTGTTCTCCGCTGGTCTTGCTGCCCAATAGAATTTACTCAGTTACACGTTTCAGTTATGCTGTCTTGCTGCTGTTGCAGCTGTCCCACTGCATGGAGTTGCGGACGTCCAGTGCTCATCAGCATTATGCAGCAGAAACTATACTTTCAAGCGCTGTATTTGTGCGGCATGGGCTCTGACCTTGCTGCGCAGTGCGTAATGCACCGTATTCCTGGAACGGACGAGTGATGGGCGAATAGTGTGTGTGTATATATATATATATATTCATATATATATATATGTATACATACACTTCGAGGAGCAAGCTGCAGCCAAAATGCTGAAGTACGACTTCGAAGGGAACCTGATCCACACGAACGGCACCAAGGAGGTGGCCACGCCTGCTCGTTCTAACAGGGGCTGTGTTCCTATTCCTCCTGCTATCATGTCGACGCGACGGGATGTCCAGACAACTTATTCGTGCCCATCCACTTTCTGTTATGGCTGTCGGAGGTTTGAAAAGTTGGCAATTGCCGTTGAGCCAGACTGCCGTCTTTCTCTATGATCAGGTGTCGAGGGAGAGTTCTGACTTTACCTACGAAGGCTCCTTCGAGGCGTCACTACAAAAAGGCTTTAGTGGAGGCAACCGCGCAATGCTACTAAACCGCCATGGTATGTATGCTGTTGGTAGAAACGCAGCAGAAGCACTCTTCGTTGCAAAGCATGTCGCGCAGGCATGCGACGCGCAGGTGAAGACCCTCGCACTGGCCGGTGGAAGCCTTGACAATGTGATTCGTCCAGATCCAGACGTGTTCAAAGCACAGTGCACGGACATGATGTTGTCCACAGGCTATGCCTACGATGGTTCGCGGGAATGGCCTGGACTGCTAAGAGAGCTCGGGCGCAGACATCCTGATTACAATCTCTAAGTTCGTGCACTCTTTGGACCCGCAATGTCTCGGGTAGTTTCAACCAGTCGTGGTTGCAGTGGAGTTCTGTGATGATCATGGATCTGAAGCCCGTAGCATGTGCCCGCGCCTCTTCTGCTGCTTCTCCTGCTTCTCCTGTTTTCAACTTGATCCCCTCGGTGTAGTGTCGTCACTCCGCTACTGTGAAGAGCTTCGGCGCGCTGGTATAGGGTATTGGCGGTCGGCGCTTGCATCATACCCTGCAGTGGCGATGGGCCGTGCAGAGAATCAGCATTCGACCTCTTCACATACCGTACCGTGTGCGCGGTATTCGTGTGGGGCAGCGATGGCTGGTGTCGGCTAGACGGGCTGCACCGGCTCACAATAGAGCGGGACGATTGAGCCAGTGCTGCATTGACCAGGATGAGCAACAAAAGCATGGTCCCAAGATCGTCCATGAGAGGCGCCAGAACGGCTCAGACAGGGATCCAACCAGACCTGGACGCCCCCACGGGACCCCCCAACAGGGCCCCGTGAGGGCCCCATGAGAGCTCGAAGTCGCAAAAAAGCCAACGAGACCTCCTGTCTCTGATGCGACGCTGGTCGCAAGACGGCCCCAGGAGGGCCCTTCAGGCTCCAGGAGGCCCCCGCGGGGCCCAAGAGAGCCCTCAGGGGGCCCGCAGAGAGCCCCGAGATAGGGCCACGAGAACACCCCAGAAGAGCCTCAAGAGCGTCCCGAGAGGCTCCCCCCGGACCTTCCTCCCCGAGGCTCCGCCCAGAACATCCTGTCCACAGGCGCGTCCCGAGAGGCTCCCCCCGGACCTTCCTCCCCGAGGCTCCGCCCAAGACATCCTGTCCACGGGTGCCTCGCCCCACTTCCCTCCGCGCCTGGCCCGGGGCACTGCTCGGCCACGCCCAGCCCACGGGGCCAGACGCTCCCCGGAGGGGCAGCAGGGGGGGGTCCGGCAGCGAGGGCTCCGCCGCACCGCCCACGGCCAGATCGGCGGCGAGCGCGGGGGGGGGAACTTCCCCCCCCCCCCCCCCCGCACTCGCGAGGACGGCTGGCCTTTTCGGCGGCCGACGCACGGGCGGCGCACGGGCGACGAATGCGCGACGCACCTCCTGTCGCGAAGGGGGGGGTCAGCACGCCGGTCGTCTTACTGGGCCTTAACAGGGGGAAGTGAGGAGGAGGAGGCCTTCTCAGAGGGCGGCGGGGCTCCTCGGAGGCCCTCCCTCGCGCCTCCTGACGGGTTCCGGGGGAAGGCCCCGGACGCCCTCCTCGGAGGGCCGGAGGACTCCCGAGCCCTCTGGGGAGGGTCGTCGCCTTCTCATTTCCCCCCCTCGCTCGCTCGCCGCCAGCCAGAGGGCGGGTGAGGTTGTTCTTACCAGTTTGAAGCATATCCCTATCTGAGGGCCTATCCTTAAGATCGTCGTCGCTTTTTGCTCGCCCATCTTAGGGATAGGGATAAGTTCGAGGCTGGTTATGTTCTCTGCGTGATGCCGCGCAGGAGTGCCCCCCCGCGCGCTGCCACCGAGGTGCTGCGCGGGCTGAGTCCGCAGGAGGTCGAGGCCCTGGCAGCGGACTGCCGGCTCGCGGCCGAGACGCTGCACTGGGTGGTGCGGCTGCAGCAGGGGCAGCCCTGACGCCCGGTCTCGCGAAAGAGAGCGCACGCGCGCGCGCCTGGCGAAGCCCTCTGTGCTCTCTCAAGCAGTGGTGAAGCGTCCTGGCTCGCCTGCATAGGCCCACCAAAGAATGTTCTAAGAGGCTTTTGTGGTCTGCGCGAAATGTTATTGGAACATTTCTGGTTGAGACTGTCTTGTTTTAGCACATCGGATGTATGTTCTAAGAACATTGTTTCTATGATGAGAACATTGTGGGGCTCTAAGAATATTTCGCGGTAGGCCTATGGGAATGCCGGGGCGGTCGGTCCCTGCTCAACTCTCGAAGAAGCGCTGCGCTCGGCGACTACAACGCGTATTGTTACGCTGGTGTGGGGTTTGCGATCTGCGTCGTTGGGGCCTGGAAGGCACCATGCTGCCCTCGTCGGGTCTCCTCGGGGCACGGCGGAGAACTCTGTCGAGGTACTCGCCCGCCCCCCAGGGTGCAAATTACAGACCACACTTTTTGTAGACCGCACCCTTCGGAGTCGCCGAAACGCAGACATAGATAGGCGCGTGGATTAGCGACGGGCCTTTAGCGGCCTTGTGGCCGTTGGTGGCCTCTAGCGGCCTTGAGAAAGCCCGTGCAACTATGCAGAACAGGTATTTCGTATGTTAGCAATCGTTTCGATAACTATTCACTTACAGCTAGGGGCATGGCGGCCCCAATCTTCCACTCTGGGAGGCTTCTATTGGACCCAACGTGTATTTCGTATGTTAGCTTTCGCTTCGACATTCATTCACTTACAACCACGGGCACGGCGACCCCAATCTCCCACTCTGGGAGGCTTCTGTTGGGCCCAGCACGGTGGGCACAGCTCCGGGATGTCCCGCCTCCGTGCAGCACGGGCGCGCCCCGTCGCCACGGTGAGAGGCGGCACTGCCCGCAGGCTCTCGAGGGGCGTTTTTTCCCGAGCTGCGGCTCTTGCGCCCGCACCCCATGAGGAGGAGGAGGAGGAGGAGGAGGAGGAGGAGGAGGAGGAGGAGGAGGAGGAGGAGGAGGAGGAGGAGGAGGAGGAGGAGGAGGAGGAGGAGGGAGGAGGAGGAGGAGGAGGGAGGAGGGAGGAGGAGGGAGGAGAGGAGGAGGGAGGAGGAGGAGGGGAGGAGAGGAGGAGGAGGAGGAGGAGGAGAGGAGGAGGAGGAGAGGAGGAGGAGGGAGGAGGAGGAGGAGGAGGAGGAGGAGGAGGAGGAGGAGGAGGAGGAGGGGAGGAGAGGAGGAGGGGAGGAGAGGAGGGGGGGAGGAGGAGGAGGAGGAGGCAGATCCACGGTTCCTTGTTCGTTGTTCTCGTTGTTATCGTTGTCATCGTTGTTGTCGTTGTCGTTGCTATCTCGTTGTGATCGTTGTGATCGTCGTGATCGGTGGCGCCCACGCCCCAGATCCACGGGTCCCTGGCCCCTGTCAGCGCGGGCCCGATCCTCAGGCGCGACGGGGTTCTGGACGCATCCCCGTCCCTGGCCGGGTTGGCGGAGGGCCGGTGTCACCAGAAGCCTCCGAGGGCCACGCCACGGGGGGCGCAGGCGCCGCTCGCGGGCCCAGGACGGAGCCAGCCAGGGGCGGTCGCCCGACGTCTTGGCCCAGAGTGCTTCTTGGCATCGCTCGGACGTGTGTATTTTTCCTTCGGCGAGGACCATCGAGGAGCATTCTTGATCATGTGGCGAAAAAACCACGCACGAAACCGAAACAAGCACAGGGAATGGACGTCCGAGCGATGGCCAGGCTTGGGCAGCCCTGGGCGGGCTCACGGCCAGGCCGAGGAGAGCGAGGGGGAGGCGCGCACGTCTCCCTCCCGAGGCCTCGGCAGTCCTGGCCCAGCTGCCCCTGGCTTTGGCTGCGGACGCCAGCTCTCGCCTGCAGAAGGCCCCTGTCGATGCTGCTGTCGGGACGCCGGGCCTCTCGGGCCGCCATGTCGAGGCAGCCTCCTTGCTGTGGCTGCGGGGGCTGCTGGGAAGGGCCCCGGCCATCCCCAGGGCCGCCGCAGACAGCAGAGCGGTGTGGGATCTCGAGGTTTTTGTACAGCTCCGTTCCGCACTGGATACTGTCTTTATATCTTGCTGGCTCTTGGGCTGGAGTGAGGGGGCGAGTGGCCCCTTGGGCCACATAAATCTCAGACAGGTCAGAGATGGTGAACGAGAAAAGGTGAGGGACATGCCTCTGGGGCTTTCTCGGGCTTTGTCTCGCATCGGAGGGTACGTAGTCCCTGTCCCCGCTTTCCCTGAAAGCCGAAATCGTCCAGACGTCTCGTTCATCCAACTCGTGTGTACCCTGAATGTGGACACGTAAACCACAGAGAATCAGTCAGTGCCGACTCAAGTTTTTGGCCGCTTGCGCGATTGTCGCTTACATTGCCTTTGTTTTGTGGTTGCTCCTGTCAGGTCTCAGATGTGCTACAGCCAAGACGCTGGAATAAGGAACAGTTTGGATTCGGAGGGGGCTCGATGTTCTTACGTCCTTCCGCGGTTGTTCCTCCAGCTCTTCTCGTGCACCCAGGCTTTTTTGAAGCCGCAGAGGGGCTTCGTTCCTCATGTAGCGTTTCTTAAATTCAGCAGCCCGACAGTGTGTCCGCCCCGTCTCTGCTCTGTTCATCCCGGACATGCGCAATGGCCGCTGATCACAACACGAGCACAAGCACAGTCAGCCTCAGACCTGCCTCGCCATGATTCCGCTCTGCAGAGCAGCAGGTGCACGAGGGCTTTAGGTTACCGACTCGCTTTTCATGCGGTGTGGTAGTGCAGCTCCCTATGAACGATGGCGGTCATCTGGTACCCCCCCTCCGACAGTTTATATCCTAGGGCGAGGATTGCAGTTCACCGCTCCCCGCGGCCCAGGCCGCGTCGCGTGGGAGCTCCTGTACGAGACCATCTGGCGACGCGAGCTCGCCGCGGCCACGATCCAGCGGAACACACGCATGGGGCTCGCCCGTCTCAAGGTACTCGCTCGCCTCCTCTTCGGGGGCGGACGTCTGGTGCAGAGTGCATGCTGGCGCCCTTGCCCCGTTCCTCCTACACGGCCCGTCTCTGCCCCTCATCCTCTGCTTTTCCTCCCCCCTTCCCTCCTCCGCCACCCTTTCGTTGTTCCAGGTTGCCCATAGGGGCGCGAAGATATCATTGCCCCGCGGCCCGGACCAGGCAGCTTCCCTTCTCCAGTGCGCAGTGCGATCTCGCGAGGACAGCTGCGTGCTCGCGCTTCCTGCAGCGTGAAGTGCGGAGCCAGGTGACTTGTTTGGACGACAGGCCCATGAAGAGGCCGCCGCTCAAATTCATCCCCCAGTGTGTTTATTCGTAAGTAATTCGCGCCTTCGCAAAGCCGACATGCAGCCATGTCCCCTGGGCCCTGGCATGCGGCTTGTTCACATGTGCGATCAGCCTTGTCGCATGTGCGACGAACTTGAGCTTGGGTGCGCCAGCTGAATGTGCTGTGATCTTGAGCGTGATGCCCACCGTGTTGAACACCAGGAGGCTGGATATGACGCGGCCGGCTTGGACTGGGCGAGAGCTTCTTAGATATGTGGCCAGACGTTTTCCGAGCGTTCGGCCCTCGTGTGGCCAGGCACGGTGATCCTCCGCCGTGCGTGTCCAATCGGCTGCCATCGGATGTTCCACAGGTGGACTCATCCACGTGCGTTTCGAGCTCCCTGGCACAGCTGGCACGAAAAATAAGTACAGCCCTGGTTTGGGAAGACTACGCTTACAGTCAACCCGCAAAGTAGGGATGGGCACCCTTCCCAAGGGTACCCTCGCATCCTTGCCTCGTCGGCCCATCCTTGAGGAACAATTTTTAGAAAAGTCAGAAATATTCAAAAATTGTCAGAAATTGGCAAACATCGTCCCCATGTTATTTTCGACTATTTTTGGATTTTCCTCCTGTAGAGGGACAGGCCCGACTTAACGCTATAAGCATAAACTTTTGGCGCTCCGCGTGGATTTTCTTGGATCCGCGCTGGGGCCCACAGCGGCGCCTCTGGCGCGCTCCGCGCGCCAGGGAGGGGGGTCCGGCGCAGATCCACGAAATCCGCGCGGAGCATGGCGTGCTTGCTTCTCGGAACGTGCCGACTGCAAGTGCTCCTCGCCCTTTCCGCCTGCCCTCCTCGGGGTCCCCGCGCCCCCGATCCCGTCGACCACGTCGGCCCCGCGCTTGTGGGCTGCCCCCTGAGAGCCCCGAGGCCCGGTGGCGCCCCTCCGGAGGCCCGAGCCCCGGCGAAGAAGGCCCTCCATGGGCATGGGGCGTATCTTTATGTCGGGCGTGTCCCCCATCCAGGGGGAGTTTCGACGAGAAATAAAAAATGCACCGAACATGCCCCAAAAGGGTCCCCAAATACACCAAAAATAGTCCCTGGATTATTTTTTGAGTTTTTCTTTAATTTTTGTTTGGGGTATTTGTTTGTTCTTAAAAAAAGAATCGCCGAAGATCCCCCTGTGGGGGGACAGGGCCGACAGAAGCGTACCTGCTCTCGCACCGTTCGTGAGATCGCACGCCGAGGCTGTCGGAAGCCGCACGTGGCACGTGGCACGCGGCGCGGCTGGCCCGGGCGAGAGCCAGCTGCACGCGGCGGGCCCGGTGTCTCTCCCGCGCGGCCCCCGCGGCACGCGGCCTGGCGCGCAGGGCCTCCGCAGGGGGTGCCCCGCGCGTGGCCTCCGGGTCTCCGTGGCCTCGGTGCGCCCGTTTTGAAAAGCAGCGCGTCCCGTGTGCAAGACGCCCGCGTCAATGCGTTGCGTGTTGGCTCCACGTATTGGGCCACGTTGTGGCGAAGGCACCTCGTCGGACCTACGTTTTCAGCCTACGTGTCGAGCTCCGTATCGATGCGATACGCGTTGCGCGTTGCGCATCGGGGCAGCGAAGCTCCGGATGCTTCCCGTGCGAGTTCTGTCGTGTGTGCTCCAGCTTCCAGGTGCAGTGATGCCTCATGCCGTCTGCCCCTGGCGAGAGCAGTGTTCAGTCGGGCATGTCCCTCTACAGGAGGACTGTCAACAACTTGTGTGAGAACATA